CACTGGATTGACCCAGATAATCCAGGTTAATCTCCCTATTTTAAAGTCAGCTGATTAGTAACCTTAATTACATCTGCAAAGTTCCTTTTATCTAAAATACCATTATTACTGGTATGACACCAGAGGACAAAGGTCATGGGTGCCAGAATTCTGCTTGTCCATCCCTCCCTTCCTCCCTTGTTTCTTCCCCCCATATATATATTTTTTTTCTCTTCCATTCTTCTACCATTCAAAATAGTATATGTTAATAGTAGTTAACCATATATATCGGTACTTAAATTAGAGGTATAGCCATCACCCATTGGTGAGAACTCTAACCTCTTTTGGAGAGAAGATTGATGTATTTTTAGTTGTATGAGAGATAATTGCGTCATGTTAGACAGAAAATAAGGGTAGTTTGTAGAGGTGTGCATGGATACCAAGTTGACCTTGAGTGGACTGGGATAGTGTACTTTCTGGCCCAGCTAAACTATAACTACATTTCTGAGAATTCCATTCCCAATATAAGATTGAGTTAGGATTAGTCACAAGAGAAATTTGCATAAAATTTGGATGTGGGAAGTGAATCAGTAGCCACTGTTTTATACTCTGAAGGTCAGCGATGTGCCCAGGCATTATGGCAGCCTTCATGCAATGTCAGTATCTGATAGTTCATTAGATGGCATGGGGTGGCACCTCAGCCCACATACTCCCTGACCTTGCCAGATCTTTTTTAGTTTCTTCATGTCCTAGGCCACGGTAATGAAAGGCGCCAACTTTTCTACATGTCACTCTTTTCATCAAGGTTGGAGGCAGTTGTTAAACTTAACATTTATTACGTGGAGCACAGAGTACTGGATGATGTGTCAAGGCAACAATAGTGGTGAGTGGTGGTTCAGCAGCAGACCACCAGAAAAATCAAAAGAGAAGTTTATTACTTATAAGTACGGGAGGAAGTACATGGCACACTTCAAAGGGGCACACAGAAGGTCAAGGCAGAAAGAGAGGCAGGACCTGGGGCACACGCCTTTTTTAGGGTCCTTGAGTGGAGTGTTTTAGGGTTCCTGGGCTAGGGCCAAATTGATCAGTTCAAACTAAAAGAGCAGGAATTTGGTAAGTGCCATGAGTCTTATCTAAGGGGCATATAAGGCATACAGGCACTAGGAAGCAGAGGACTTGATCCCAGGGGCTGTTGGGAGAGACCTATCAGGAACTTACATTTGCTTGTGACTTTGTGGGATGCTGTATAGGGCATGTACTTCCCTAAGGGAGCCTGTGTCAGTTTAAGGTCCCTGCAGGCCACTTGGCCAAACAAAATGGATGTTGAGGCAGCAATACCATGGACTAGCTTAGCTAAATGCTTGACATGGTGATAGACAGACACATGTTCCATTGTCTGTGTGTCTCCTCACGGGTTCCAGTCTGTCCTCATGTGTTTCAGTTTGTCTTTGTGGGTTCCAGTTGTTCATTATGGGTTTTAGTTCTCTCATATGTCATGTCCAGTTTTCCTTCCCAACTGCTGGCCTGACTTCTAGCAGCTTTAGGCCAAATATCAGAACAGATGTAACAGCCTTATATAGCCTTCTCTAATAGCTTCTATAATAGCATAAGGTCTAATCCCTACAATAAATTATTTCCTGACTGATCCCAGAGCAATAAAATATTTTAATCATTTTGGAAAAGTTCTCAGCCACTGTCTTTTCAAATACTGTTTGTACCCCATTTTTTATCATCTCTACTTTTGGAACTTTAATTTTATGTGTATTAGAACTTCTTTACCCCCAGGTGCCTTAATCTTCTGTATTTTTCGTGTATTTGTTCATGTGTCTCTGTTTTATTCTTGGTATTTTTTTCTGACCTATCTTTTGTTTAACATATTCTTTTATTTTTTTAATTGATCTCCTTTTAAATAGTTCTCTACTGAAATTCTAGTCTAAACATTTTAAGGATATTTATTTAGAAGTCTGTGTCTGATATTTTTCTTACCTATATTTGCTGAAGATCTTTTTATGTTGTCCTCCCTCCCTCCCTTCTTCCTTCCTCTTTTAAGTAGGTTCCATGCCCAGCATAGAGCCCAACACAGGGCTTGAACTCACAACCCTGAGATTAACACCTGAGCTGAGATCAAGAGTTGGACACTTAACTGACTGAGCCACCCAGGTGCCTCTGTTGTCCTTCTTTCTTTAGGCATTCACTAATGTGGTCTCCTCTCCTGGTGTGCCCAGTTGTTTTGCTTGAGTGCCAGACATTGTTTATAAAAAGTTTGTATAGGTAATTTGAGGCCTTGAATTACATTATGTCCTCTCAGTTACTCTGACAAGTAACTAGGTGTAATAGCAAATCGTATTCACCTTAATTTAGTTTGATGTACTTAAATGGTTCAAAGCTAGGATTCAGTTCCCCAAAAGCAGTGTATTTCTGGATTGTGTTTATTCCTAGGATGTAGCCTTGGAAGGTCCCAAATCAAAGTGTATAGTGTTTATCAGATTACCCTTCTCACTTTTTTGTCCTCCTAACCCTGCAAGATACAGGAAGCCCTCTTTTTTATCCCAGTCACTTCTAGAGAAAAATCATTCAAATGCCAAGTTATGTCTGTTGATTTCCTCTCTTATTTGGATCTTGGTTCCATAGTTCTTCACTGTTTATTGGCTCCCTGATGCCTTCATTTAGATTTTAAAGAACATATCCAGCTTTTTTAGTTGTTGTTACCTTTAGCTAGAGAGAGGTAGAGCAGAATTTTTGATGGGGTAGCTGTCACTTTCCTTCTTCTCCACCCCTGCAACCCCGTGTGTATTGTGGGGTTAAACTTGTCTCCCCCTTCCTTATGTTATGTGAAAGTTCTCAGTGGCTCACCATGATGTGCCTTTTTTTTGTTTCTTCAGAATTACTGTCAGCTGACAATTGGTGGTACTAATATAATTGAGGTATATAAGATATGTATTCGGGAAGAGGCAAGAAAGCTGCATTGTGCAGCTATGGGAAAGCAGGGATGGGGTCCTGGAAGATTTCTTTAAGCATTAGTGCAGTGAATGTGGATTTAGACAAAGTTGCATTGACTAGGCTTCCTAACAGGCTTTCTCTATAGAATGATAGAGAAAAGGGGGATGTGATTATGGTGCTGGGGTATATAAAACAAATGACCTGGAGCAGAGAGAAAGCTGCTTGAAAATACTAAGTCATAAGAAGCCTAAATTGGACAATCCATGTAGAGTGAGCCTATTGCATATTCATCAGCAACTGTATATTCCCAGATTAAAGGAGTGATGGCCAAGAAAGACTTGATTTTTTAATTCCCACAGATGTGTAGTCAGTCACTTAAGCTAACTCCTTTTCATTCTTCTCACTCCCTTTTGTTATCTACCCCTGCCCCAAACCACCACCAAGAGTACGCACAGATGAATGGGACAGGAAGAAGTAGAAAAGGGAGAGAGAGAAAAAAAAAATCACAGCTCTTCCTTTGCCTGAAGTTCATAGCAGGTGGATGAGAACTTCACTTGAGTTTGGTGAGAGAGTTTTGAGCTGAACTAAACTAATAATAATATTTACATGTGATTGAATATACAAAAGAAGGTTGAAAGGAAGTGGGGAAAAAATCTAATGTGACTAGAGAAATGATTAGAAAAGATAGAGGCACCATTAAATGGCAAACTTTAGCTTTCCATTCTCACTTGAAAGCAAAGCCAATATCATTTCTTGGTTAAATTGTTCTGTTAATCCTTTGGCTGTATCTAGACTGATATTAAGTCCATCTTTCATTTTCTTTCAAGAACTTTATTTGATTGTTTTGATTATCCCTGTTCTTGTATTAAAACATCATATTCTTGGGGCCCCTGGCTGGCTTAGTCAGTAGAACATGCGACTCTTGATCTCGGGGTTTTCAATTCAATGCCCATGTTGGGTGTAGAGATTACTTAAAATAAAATCTTTAAAAAAAGGCAAAAACATATTCTTGTTACATGGATATTAGTCCTCCCTTTATTTCTCTGAAATTCTGAAATATATTTGTTTTGTGATTCTTTTCTGATTGTTCTATTGCTCTGTTTTCTTGGATGCAAGTTATTCTATTTGTCAGCTTTATTGGATTCATTTGTTGACATTGGATGATTTCTGATTTCTGGTTGTAAGCTCATCTACAGAATACTGTTCCCAGTGTCTTGATTTGTGATAGTTCTCGATATGGTGACTTCTTGTCTGTTTGTTTCTTCTGGGTGTGTCTTACAGCCCCTGACCAAAGAGAATTTCCTTTGTTATTTTTAATGTGGTTATATGTTCATTATTCTATATTTTATATTATTAAAATATGATTTCTCCAGGTTTTATATTGAGAGAAATTAATTTCTATTATCTGGAAATGAGTGTAAATTATTTGACATATAATATCTAGACCAAGTATAACACTGTTTCTCTTAGCAAATCATTAGCAGGTTTCTCTCATAACCTGTTTCAGAACAGAACACATTTGAACTGTTTTTATTTTATTTTTATTTTTTTTAAAGATTTTATTTATTTATTTGACAGAGAGAGACATAGCGAGAGAGGGAACACAAGCAAGGGGAGTAGGAGAGGGAGAAGCAGGCTTCCTGCTGAGCAGGGAGCCCGATACAGGGCTCGATCCCAGGACCCTGGGATCATGACCTGAGCCAAAGGCAGACACTTAAGGACTGAGCCACCCAGGCGCCCCTGAACTGTTTTTAAAAGACCCAAATCTCCTAGTTCTAGCATAGAGCACTTAAAATGGTAGCTAATTACAATTACTTTAGAAAACATACATGCAAATGGACAAAGAACCTGCCAAAATGGAAAATACTAATTTTTTTAAGGTGGTGAACTTATGGATGACTTTTTCTCTTTTGACTTTCCAGAATTTCTGTATTATTATATTATTTTTTTAAAGAGGACATAATTTTTGAGTATATATTCTAAATAACTTTAAAAAATCCTACCACTAATACAGACCCCCAGTAAAGTATCCAGTTGCCTCTAGGATAAAGTTAAAACTTCTCAACTAAATATCTCCAAAGCTCTTCACAGATCTGTTCTCAGATTGCTTCTCTTACCTCCTTCCATTTTCTTATGCTTCATTTAGTCCAGTCTTGTTCCCCACCCTTGACACAGACACTACTAATTTCCACTATGTTTTAAGGATTGAAACACATTTTTGCAGGGTCATTTTTCTAGGTACAGGATACTGGTTCTTTTGGTCCATTGTTTTGCTGAGTTTATTTGGGATCCTGGCTGCCTACTGTACATTGCTGGTGGTGAGTAATATTTCATTGCAGTTGGTGAGTAATATTTTGCATTTCTCTTACTCCTTTCTGAGTAGCCTCGTAAAGTGCTCCTGTCTTGGATAGTATCCAATAGGTGCTGAGAACCTTCATAAAATAAGATCACTCTTGTCTTGGCAGAGTTGGGGTTTACATCAGCTCCTTGAATCTTAGGCACAAAGGATGGATGAAGGAAAGAAAGGCTTGTGCTATTAGAGGATCTGTCTTACAACCTTCCCTTTTAAAGGGTGGCAGAACATCCTTTTTTTAATCTTGTTTCATAGCCTATTTTATGGTTCAATGTTGTTATTTTCAACACTCCAGATTCACATTAGCAGTACCTTTACATATTGAACTACCTCATTTCATATCCTATCTCCTGAGAATCAGTCTTTCTGGGCCTTACAAATTAAATTAGCTAGTTTTTTAAACCTATTCTAATGTGCAAATGCACATTAGTCCTCTAGTCTAGTTGCAGAGTACATTTTATCAAGTCTTTTGGCAAATAGTGACCCTGTCTCTGTTGCCTGACATACTAGTATAGTGTGGTATGAGAAATTCAGGCCAAGCAAGAGAAAAGTCTGTAGAAGTGGAAAGCTATGGGAGGATAACTTTCAAGTAATGGGAGTTTTTCAGTGCCCGCTTATCCATAGGACGTATATATCTTTCTCTGATTTCACAATTCCCTGTCCTTACTGATTTCCTTTCTGATAAGAAAACCCCAACCCACCAAATCCATTGCCATTTGCATTTTTTCAACAAAATTTATTAATCACTGTATGAGTGCTAAGTACTGAGTATACAGTGATCCACAAAACATGCAGTTTTTATTTTCATGCAGGGCACTTCAAAGAGATAGGTATGAGATGTAAAGTTATAAAAGTGTCTTAATTCAATGAATATTAACTCTAATAGGACAACTAACTCATAGACAAAAATAACTAACACAAGCAGAACATTACATTTGTCACTAGAGAAGCCTTAAAAAAGTTCTGTATGGGTTCTGAGAAGGAAGAAGTGACTTTCAGCCAAGAGGATTAAGTAAGACTTCTTGGAAGAGGTGGCACTGATGTATGATCTTGAAGGGGTGGTAGATTTGGACATGTGTATATGGGGATGGGGGAAGAACATTCCAGGCTGTGGGAACATTATGACAAAGGTGGCGAGACAAAAATACAGAGTGTGGCTAGATAACAGGGCAGGGTCAGTTCTGTTAGCATGTAGGGCATAATGAAGAATAATGGGGAACATAGCTAAAAAGATAGGCTTGTGACAGATTTTGGAAGGTCTGGAAATAAGGCTAAGACATTTGGCATACATCAGATTTCTATTTTAGGAAAACCATCCTGGAAATTGTGGTGTGGAGGGTGGCTGTAGGCAGGGAGGCTGGTTAGAAACTTCTTTTTAATGGGGGAAATGCAGATGAAGGATGTGCTCTGGGCCAAACTCTGGCCACTGACTTGTACTGCTTTTATACACAGTGAACATGAAATGGTATAGCTAGCTTCTAAGGTGGGAATGAGTTCTAGTGTCCAACAAGGCAATATATTATAACTACAACAAAGTTTCTACTCTACCCTACTTCTTTTTGGGTACATACAGTGGCAACAACAGTGCACAAAGAGGAAGACCTGAGTTCTATTTCTATTGTTAGGTTACTTCGTAACCTTGGTCAAGTCATATAACCCTTTGAGCCTCCATTTCTTTTCTTTCAAATGCGAATGATAATATTTAATAAAATGGTATTTTATGGGGCTGGATAAAGAACAAATGAAATCAGATACATAAAATTATTTTGATAAAAAGATTAAGAGCTTTATACATTCCAACTCCCATTAATATCCTGAGCATCTAAGGGTTCTGATTTTGTTTAGATTAGATTCAAATCTGATTAAGATTTATTGACTAAATATCAGGTTAGCAGCAGTAGTTAACAGTTGTAACAATGGCACCGATTCCTCAAGAAAGAGCTTTTAAATAACGCATTGGAAGGGCTGGCCTCTGCCCTCTTTTCTCTCACAAGTGTGTCTAAGTAATACCATGAATACAGTTCATCATGGGGAAAAGAAATTGGTAGGAACTCAGGAAGGATATCAGTGTGGTGATTGTCATGAGACTCCAGAGATGAGAATAATTCTTCCTGGGGGTGCTCGTGAACATTACAAATAGAAGATGACATTTGAACTGCCTTTGAAGAAGCATCAGTGGCATGGGGAGGGAGAGCTTCTCAGGCAGGGGAGCAGCATGGCAAACTACCAGAGGCTGCAAAGTGCAGGTAGAGCAAGAAGTGAATGTAGTGCTAGACTGTGAAAGGAATTTTGAGCTACAGAACAGTGCTTTGCCTAGCAACTTGGTGATTTCAAAATAACCTCCTTTTTCTTCTTTGCTTTTCCAGGTACTTGCATTTTTGTTGGTTTGGGAAGGGTATGAACCAAACCTGCACTGGTGTCATAAGGTAGGACACTGAACCTTTGTAGGAGCTCTTGGGCCAGGACTGAATGTGCCTCTCAGGCACTCAGTGTTAAGTAGAGTCACCCTTTCTTTCATTGTTCCCCTTAGACAGAAGAGATCTGTTTACACTGTTTTAACGGAAATAATTAAATTTCTAACAGATATAACTGATTTACTGAAGGAACTGAACGCAAACTTTTTTTTTCACCCCTCCTTGTTAAACTCACGCTGTGACTGTTCTTCCCATCACATCTTAGGCAAACTCCATTACTTTCTCAGTCCTTTATAGTCATAAGAACATTCTCATTTCAGTCATTAAAAATTTCAGTTCATTGTAATAACCCAAACTTCAACATTATTAAGATTTTTTCCTCTCCTTATTTGGACTTAACCCAGGCCTGGAAACCTGCAGTGATAGCGAGAGCATGATGGTCCTTTTACCTCTCTTTTCACCAGAATAGGGCACAGGGGAAAAGGAGATAGAATAAACGAACACAGTTGCACAAAGAGGGGTAAAAGGGTCATCTGGGGTTGATGCTGTCAGGACCAGATAAATGTACAGTTGTTGGCTTTTTATCCAATAGGCTTTTTCTGTGTGTATTTTCAGAGACCCTTCTGCTGAGAACCTTGACCACACCTTTCTTGGTGGAGTCAGTGTCTGTCTTCCTATACACCCGGAAATTTCTTGAGGTCTTTTTAACCTTCCCTTAGTTTGGAGCCCCCCCCTTTTTTTTAAGATGTTATTTATTTATTTCACAGAGAGAGAGAGAGACAGCAAGAGAGGGAACACAAGCAGGAGTGGGAGAGGGAGAAGCAGGCTTCCCGTGGAGCAGGGAACCCGATGCGGGGCTCGATCCCAGGACCCTGGGATCATGACCTGAGCCGAAGGCAGACGCTTAACGACTGAGCCACCCAGGCGCCCCTAATTTGGAGCCCTTTAAAATGACTCCAGAATGGTGTCTCTCAAAGGATCTGAATCTGTTCCACAGAAAACAACATCTTTGCCCCATCTGTGGACATGCAGCTCATTTCCAAGATAGCCTCCCTCATTTTGTTCTGCCATGGGCTTGAGCACCTCCAGCCACAGCCTCTTGCCTTTCTGTAGACTTTTTTCAGGCATGGTTTGATACCATATTTTGTTTTTCCTTAAACCCAGGAACATATCAAACGCTGAGTGGTCCCCTTAAATTTCTTCTTTCTCAAATGAAAAGTATGAACTGGAAATATAAATTTAAGAGTTATTAGAATAGATCAAAATTGAAATCATGAGATCTTAAGGGAAAGAATGTATATTGAGAAGTGAAAAAATAGGCCTTATTGAGATCACCATCTATTTTGGAGTTGGGACACCATGATCATATGGTCACTACCAAGAGTCATGTGAAATCTAAAAAACCCAGATGAATAGACAAAAAGCAAAATCAGACTGATAAATACAAAGAACAAACTGATGGTTGCAGGGGAACAGGGGTAGGGGGTGTTGGGCAAAATGGGTGAAAGGGAGCACGAGATACAGGCTTCTACTTAAGGAATGAAGAAGTCACAGGAATAAAAGGTACAGCATAGGGAATATAGTCCACGGTATTCTAATAGTGTTGCATGGTGACAGATGGTAGTTACACTTGGGGTGAGCATAGTGTAACATAGAGAATTGTAGAAAATGAAAATGCTGATTTGAAAAGATATATGAACCCCTGTGTTTATCGTAGCATTATTTACAGTAGCTAACATATGGAAACAGCTTGTGTCCATCAATAGATGAATGGATAAAGAAGATGTGGTATACATACCTAATGGAATATTACTCAGCCATAAAAAATGAGATCTCGATATTTGCAACAATGTGGATGGGCCTAAAGGATATTATGCTATGTGAAATAAATCAGAGAAAGACAAATACCATATGATTTCACTGGTATGTGGACTCTAAAAAACAAAACAAATGAACAAACAAAAAGCAGAAACAGACCTATAAACACAGAGAACAAACTGGTGGTTGCCAGAGGGGAGGGGGGAGGGGATAAGCAAAAAGGGGGTAATTAAGTGGGGAGTGGACGGTATAGCTTCCAGTTATAGAATGAATAAGTTACAGAGATGAAAGATGGTATAGCATAGGGAATATAGTCAGTGGTATTGTAATAGTGTTGTATGGTGATAGATGGTAGCTTGAGGTGAGCATAACATAATATATAGATTTATGCAATCACTATGTTGTACACCTGAGACTTTTGGAACATTGTGTGTCAACTATATTTCAATTAAAAAAAACACACTCCACATTTTAAGTCCCAAGAGCAGAATGTATCCTAATATAGAAGAGGAAAGACATTTTTATGAGTAGCTGCATTTAACAGATTCACGTTTCTCCAAGAGAAAATGTTTTATATGTACCTTCTAATTGCCTGTATCCTTTGAATCATAAATAAGTTTGGTGTTGGGTAGATCATAGAATCTTATGCGATTCATGTGAGTCTGATGGACCTGGGCAAAGTAAATTGAAAGCCTTCTGGAAGGATTCAATATTCAAGATGTCCTGAAGAACATTTGTGATTCATGGGAAGAGGTCAAAATATCAACATGAACAGGAGTTTGGAAAAAGTGGATTCCAACTCTCATGGATGACTGTGAGGGGATCAGGACTTGAGGGAGTAACTGCAGACATGGTGGAAATAGCAAAAGAACTAGAATTAGAAGTGGAGCTCGAGGATGTGACTGAACTGCCGTAGTCTTATGATAAAACGTGGATGGATGAGCAGTTACTTGTTATAGATGAGCAAAGAAAGTGGTTTCTTGAAATGGAATCTACTGGTGAAGATGCTGTGAAGATGGTTGAAATTACACAAAAGATTTAGAATATTACATAAATTCAGTTGGTAAAGCAGTGGCAGGGTTTGAGAATATTGACTTCAATTTTGAAAGAAGTTTTACTGTGAGTAAAACACTGTCAAACAGCATCACATACTATAGAGAAATCATTCGTGAAAGGAAGAGTCAATCAGTGCAGCAAACTTCATTGTAGTCTTATTTTAAGAAATTGCCACAGCCACCCCAGCCTTCAGCAACCACCACCTGATGAATCAGCAGCAATCATCACTGAGGCAAGACCATCCACTGGCAAAAACATTATGACTCACTGAAAGCTCAGATGATGGTTAACATTTTTAGCAATAAAGTATTTTAGAATTGAGGTATATACATTGTTTTTTTTCTTTTTTTATTAACATAATGTATTATTTGTTTCAGGGGTTCAGGTCTGTGATTCATCAGTCTTACACAATTCACAGCACTCACCATAGCACATACCCTCCCCAATGTCCATCACCCAGCCACCCCATCCCTCCCACCCCCCTCCACTCCAGCAACCTTCAGTTTGTTTCCTGAGATTAAGAGTCTCTTATGGTTTGTCTCCCCCTCCGGTTTCATCCTGTTTCATTTTTCCCTCCCTTCCCCTATGATCCTCTGTCTTGTTTCTCAAATTCCTCATATCAGTGAGATCATAAGGTAATTGTCTTTCTTTGATTGGCTTATTTCACTTAGCATAATACCCTCTAGTTCCATCCACGTCATTGCAAATGGCAAGATTTCAATTTTTTGATGGCTGCATAATATTCCTGTGTGTGTGTGTGTGTATGTATATATATGACGTCTTCTTTATCTGTTCATCTGTTGATGGACATCTAGGCTATTTCCATAGTTTGGCTATTGTGAACATTGCTGTAAACATTGGGGTGCAGGTGCCCCTTTGGATCATTACATTTGTATCTTAGGGGTAAATACCCAGTAGTGCCATTGCTGGGTTGTAGGGTAGCTCTATTTTCAACTTTTTGAGGAGCCTCTGTACTGTTTTCCAGAGTGGCTGCACCAGCTTGCATTCCCACCAACAGTGTAGGAGGGTTCCCCTTTCTCCGCATCCCCGCCAACATCTGTCGTTTCCTGACTTGTTAATTTTAGCCATTCTGACTGGTGTGAGGTGGTATCTCATTGAGGTTTTGATTTGGATTTCCCTGATGCCGAGCAATGTTGAGCACTTTTTCATGTGTCTGTTGGCCATTTGGATGTCTTCTTTGGAAAAATGTCTGTTCATGTCTTCTGCCCATTTCTTGATTGGATCATTTGTTCTTTGGGTGTTGAGTTTGATAAGTCCTTTATAGATTTTGGATACTAGCCCTTTATCTGATATGTCATTTGCAAATATCTTCTCCCATTCTGTCAGTTGTCTTTTGGTTTTGTTGACTGTTTCCTTTGCTTTGCAAAAGCTTTTTATCTTGATGAAGTCCCAATAGTTCATTTTTTGCTCTTGCTTCCCTTGCCTGTGGGATGTTTCTAGGAAAAAGTTGCTGTGGCTGAGGTTGAAGAGGTTGCTGCCTGTGTTCTCTGAAAGGATTTTGATGGATTCCTGTCTCACATTGGGGTCTTTCATCCATTTTGAGTCTGTTTTTGTGTGTGGTGTAAGGAAATGGTCCAGTTTCATTCTGCATGTGGCTGTCCAATTTTCCCAACACCATTTGTTGAAGAGACTGTCTTTTTTCCATTGGACATTCTTTCCTGCTTTGTCGACGATGAGTTGACCATAGAGTTGAGGGTCCATTTCTGGGCTCTCTGTTCTGTTCCATTGATCTATGTGTCTGTTTTTGTGCCAGTATCAGACTGTCTTGATGATTATAGCTTTGTAATAGAGCTTAAAGTCCAGAATTGTGAGGCCACCAGCTTTCTTTTTCTTTTTCAACATTCCTCTGGCTATTTGGAGTCTTTTCTGGTTCCATACAAATTTCCATTTCTTTGAAAAAAGTTGATGGTATTTTGATAGGGATTGCATTAAATGTGTAGATTGCTCTAGGTAGCTTAGACATTTTCAAAATATTTGTTCTTCCAATCCACGAGCATAGAACATTTTCTATTTCTTTGTGTCTTCCTCAATTTCTTTCATGAGTATTCTGTGGTTTTTCTGAGTACACATTCTTTGCCTCTTTGGTTAGATTTATTCCTAGGTATCTTACGGTTTTG